CTCCTAGCAAGTCCCTTAAGGCCAAAGGGTGGGCTGACGGTTGGTCTCAGAAGACTTCCTCAAGTTCCTCGTACCACAGGCATTCACTTAGTATTCTCACTAGATCAAAGCATAACAAATGAGAAACATGAAATTGAATAAATAAGTAAATCAACATACATACCCTGAAGAGATCCACCACATGATTTCTTACTGCCTTGTTGCTTAGCCAATTTGAAAGCTAAGATGTCTTCCTTTGAGACGTTGAACTGGATGTTTTCACAAACAATGTCTTGATCTTCATTCCCCTCGCCAGTTGCAAATCGGATCGTGTTAGCATCTCGGAACCACCCTTCAATTTTTACAATCTATGTATATCAAAATGGTCAGTGATCTCTCCATCTCATGTCATAAAAACCAAGAAAAGCTTACTTTCTTTTCACATTGTCAACCAGATCTCATTACGTGCCCCTTGTTTACAAGATACTGGGCAACCCATTCACGGACTACAGTTTTTGCTTTGGTGCACCAATCATTGTAATTTTCAAACACACTGCACCACTCAACAACCAGATCAATTGCCATCACTATCTTGTGTGAACCAGCATTTCCGAGAAGACTTGATGTCTTTGTTGTCTTTGATTTCATCAATCTGAGTATCTTGAGTTTTGGGTTGAGTTTCGGTGTGAGATTCATTTTGAGTTTCACTTTGAGATCTGTGTGCTTCAGACTGATTTTGAGACACTTGAATAGGTTGAGATTCTTCAGTAGGTTTGCGAGCAGAAGGTTTTTGAGCTTTTTGAGAAGACTGAGAGGCAGCTGGATTTTGAGTTCGTCCTCAAGTCTTTTTAAGTGGTTCAGCCATTGAGGTGCTATTGGGATGAGATAAGAGTGGAGTTTTGAGTCAAAATTCAAGATGGGTAGCCTTGGGTCTTAGCTTGAACAAGCCCTCTCTGCGCAGCCACGTCCGCGCGCCTCACAGAGGGGCTTGGGACTAATTGTCAAATTCTGGCACGGAGACTTCAAGGATTAAGTCCTCTTAAGTCGTTTTTTGGCTTTCCCAGCGTTCCTCAATGATAAACACCAATTTCCCTTGCAGGCAACCTTTTTCAGCACGATGTTGTACACATCCTGGTATGCGCATATCTTAGATATCCTGGGTGATGTGGCCGAGAAAATGAGATGAAAATCTTTACAACAATGCCCCTTTTTGGCTTTCAAGTCGCTTTACGTTGTAAATACAGGCTGTACAGTGCAGGCCACCCCTTACAGGGCAGACATAAAGCTTGAAAAGGAACCTCAAGCGTTCACAAATGGAGGATTTTTCCGGGTCAATCAGTGGTGGAACACATGTACAAAATTATTCCGAAGAACTTTGCCTGAAAGACAAACTGTTGTTGATCAGTGAGGAACGCTGGAAAAGCCAAAAACCGACTTAAGAGGACTTAATCCTTGGAGTCTCTGTGCCAGAATTTGACAATTAGTCCCAAGCCCCTCTGTGAGGCGCGCGGACGTGGCCGCGCAGAGAGGGCTTGTTCAAGCTAACCTTAGGTCACTGATTTTTGCTCAAGTGAAAACACCCGTTGGACAAAACCCAAACACCAATTGGGTGGTCATGGGTTTGCCATGGGTTTTTCAATTGGGTAGAGATGTTTGTGTACCGCTAATGCAAAAGAGGCTTTCATGTCAACAACCCTACGAATTCAATCAGAGGGCTTCTTTGAGGTTCTTCCACTCTGTTGCATTACCCAGTTAAACACCCTGATACATAGAGTTTTGGGGTAATCCACTCATCCATCTTCCTGTCAAAGTGCTCTTGTTGTCATGCCTAGGCCTTCGCCCCGGCCCCGCAAATCTGGGGACTCTCCGGCTCCCGCCCCCGAGAGGTCGGGAGCCGGGATGAGTGTTGGGAAGAAACCAATGGCGGGGAGCTTGCGGGGGCGGGCTTCGGGGACGCTGGAGGGGCTAAAATGCGCTAAAAGTGAGGCCTGCACGGCTAAATCTGCGCTGCGCCCCCGGAATTGCGGGGAATCCCCGACTCCCGCACTTGCGAGGTCGGGAGCCGGGACCAGTTTTCGCAAATGTTTTCCACCGGGGAATTTCGGGGGCAGGCTTCGGCAGAGCCGAGAAGGGCCGGGGAGGGACCGGGGCGAAGGCCTAGTCATGCCTTTTCCAACAGGCAGCATTCAAAATCCCTCATCATGTTATTCCCAAATCTCACGGGCAAAGATGGAACCATGTAGACCTTGGATCAATTGATGACAGGACAGAGCAAAAGTTTTGGATGGCCAAGCCGGTCAACATCGCAAGGAAAGAAGGAATTCATTCAATGGTAGGGCTGAACTACTAGAAAAAAGTCATAGGAAAGTGTTTAAAAAGGAATATGTATTATCACACATGATTGATTTGGAGCTCATCATATCTTGATCTTTTTTGGGCATATCATGTCATGTAACATATGATGAAATATCTTACAAGTTCAATCAATTAATTCCATAACATATTCACAAAGCGTATTGAATCATTTTTTGTTGTCTTCCACAGTAATTCGTCGAGAAATCCAATGAATAAAATCAATGCTTAGCCAAAACACATCAAAGGTATCGCTGACAATTAATGTGAACTCATGAATTGGTCATCAAGAGAAATGTGTATGATCTATTTTACATACAATCCTCATGACGCCCCGAATAGGAAAACGCATGAAGGAGCTTTAGTTCATCTCCTCAATGTTTACTCGGCTCTTTCCCTTTTTGAAGATCGACTTCCACGGTCCTCCTTCGTAGATTTGCGTTTGCGTGAGCTGGTAAAATGTTAAGAAAATGACCAAATGTAAGTAACATCACAAGCTAAGCACGTCTTGATGACAAAATGAAGAAGCTTGATCGAACAGCTCACCTTCCCGAAGTCCCATGTTCGGCCCCCGCATCAGTGCCATCATCTCGCTCTCGTTCTTTGTCCTTATCGTGCTCTTTGTCTTTCATTTCATCCTTCCCCTTATCTTTATCACCATCTTTGTCTCTGTCTCTGTCTCTCTCCTTCTCTTTCTCCCGATCTCTTTCTCTCTCCTTATCCTTATCTCTGCCCCTCTCTCTCCCTTTCTCTTTGTCGCGGTCTTTATCGCGTTCATCTGAGGGTCCATCGCGAGCATCCTCCTTCTCATCTGTCTCCGTAGTACGCTTACTTCTGCGACTGCGCCTACTACCCCCCGAACCTCGGCCGCTCTTGTGATTCGAGCCCTCCTCCTTGTCCTTCTCACTCTTTTCTCGACTGCTACGATGATCTGATTCTTTTGATCGCGATCGTCCTCGATGATGATGGCGCGATTTGCGATGCAGTCCGGAAGTCGAATCTTTCTCGTCAGGCTCCTTATCACGAGATTTGCTTCTCGAGCGCTCTGAGTAATTTTCAGGGCGTTCACGTGGATCTTCTTCCAACTTTTCACGATCATTTCGGTTACCGTGTCGTCGACTAATAGGCAGAGACATTTTTCGTTCTTCATGTGGGCTCTCAGCGCTGCCACCGCCGTAATCAAGCCCTTCGTCTCCTCGTGCTCCGGCCGCGTCCTTGTCGAAATAGCCAACCGGCGTGACCCTTATCGGACGTGCTGGCGCCGGATTAGGTAAAGCAGCTTTCCGGGGTCCGGTAGGGACATTCGATGGCAGGGGCGAAATGGCTCTCGTAGATCGTTCAGGAGCTGCGAGTCACAGTCAAGAGAAGAATGACACGGTGAGTGTTTTATACAAGACCCACACACGAGTCATCGTCACGGAATCAGGAACAAACACTAGGACACACTCACATGGCTCAGCGGCTGGTACCGCATTCGGAGTCGAAACCGTGTCAGGAACACTATTGATCTGGGGGGGTGTCACAATGGGGGTAGTCACTGGCGGCACGGTGCTTGGAAGGGCTGCGCCTGGACCATTGCTCGATAGTACCCGACCGCGACCTCTGGCGGCAGCTGCTGCTAGAAACGCACTCGCCGGGGGGTTGCCGCGACCTCTACCACCGCGACCTCGTCCTCGGCCAGCGGCTAAAGGACTTTGTATGTTCATTGACGATCCTGGAGATCCGACCGGGGTCGAAACCAAACCAGCAGGAGTAGCAGCGGGACCAGGTACTGGACCAGGGGTAGGACCAGGACCAGGACCAGGAGCCGACGCCGACACCGACACCGACGATACCGAGGGTGGTGCCGATGCCGGTGCATGTGCCGATGTAGGTACAGCGGGCGATGTTATTGTGGGTGGCTGACTCATATTCGGTACGATTCCTGCGTTCATCGGTCCTGCAGTCACGCCAGACGACATTCCTTGGCTCATCGCCATGTTCATACCTGACCCTCCTCCCATCTGCTGTTGCATTTGTGAATTCATGTGCTGCATTTGTGGCATCTGCGGCATCTGCGGCATTTCCATCATTCCATTGAATTGGCCAGGATTCATATACATTTCTTGCTTAAAAGCGAAAGATCGTCTGCTATTAGTCTCACCTCATACAGGTCATCTCAACATAAGATGGGATCGATGGTCTGAATGACTTACATTCCCAAACATCGCAGCCAGATCCATCCCGGGCATAAAACCTGGACCAATTCCCATATTTTGCATATGCTGCATATGTCGCATCTGATCTTGCATCCTCTGCTGCTCATGATGATGATGCTGCTGCTCTCGTGGATCCATACCATCTGCGTAATGCCCAGGGGTTTCACCACCAGCCTCAGAAACTCCAGCTGGGTCCTGCTTTACACCTGCTAGCACGGGGGTGGATAAAAAGTATGTTGCCGTCCCATCACAAAAGTTAAGAGGTTCATACGGGGGAGCCAATCAAAAATTGATAATATTTCAAAATAAGGACAAGCTGATATACATAAAGAGGTGCCGAGGACTAAAGAAATGATAGGCTGACCTCTACTCGGTCCTTCATTATGCTGATTATTCATTCCAGCATTATGATGAGTACCATTCATGTGCCCGTTACCCATCATGCCTGGCATGCCTTGCATTCCCTGCATCCCAAATCCACCCATATCCATGCCTTGCATCATTGGGTTCATCACCATCATTTGTGGCATCGGCGGTGGTGGCATCGGCGGTCCATGATTGCCATTTGTTCCAGCATTGGGCCCCATAATCGTTTGCATCATGATGCCTTTGAGTTCAGACGGCAGCGTATCCCAAGCCTCTTGAATGTTCCCAGTCGCAAAAGCCTGAGAGTCAAAAACTATGAGTCATCTGTTAGGAACCAGAGATAAGATCAACAATATACTGACGGCGAAAGGATTGGCCGCCCAGGATTCGTCCGCCCGATGCCTTTTCTGTTTCATCACGTACCACCGCCATGTAGTTTCATCGAATCCATAGTTAAACCAGTCAGCGACATGCGCACCCGGTTTTTTCCATCCTTTCTCGCTTTCTGGAATTGCGTCGAAGTCAAAGTTCATCAATGTTGTACCGTCTTTGTCATCATAGCCTGTCAAGGGGACAGGCGCTTCGGAGTTGATTGGTGGTTGCTGATCTCCCAGAGAGGAATCGTGGGGCGGAGTCGCGGGTCTGGGAAAATTTTCAGGGGTAGGGAGTCGATTATGGGTAGGGAGCTCGTAAGGGTTACGGTATGAATTGTGACTTATAGATGGAGCAGGCTTTGCGGGTCCAGGAGTAGATGGTTCGGCTGGTTTTCCTTCGATGCGTTCGAGGATTTTGTATTCAGTGGTAGCGTTTGTGGAGTCTATTGCTGTCAAGGGTAAAAGGCATGTGAGAAATGACCAGGCGATGTGAAATCTTCCGCAAGAAAAATGTATCACCTCGAGGTTGTGCCGGTGATTCGCGGGGAATTTCAGGTCTTGACGTCGAAACCGAGGCCCTTGCATTTGGAGCACTGTGTAGATGTGTGCCGTCGCCTTCCAGAATGATGTGCAAATCCTGGTCGGATAACAAATCCAAGCGTTAACTATGTTCTATGTGGCACATAAAATATTGGCTTACGTCATCCGAGTCTTCCTCCTCTACCTCTTGGTCGTCATCCTCATCAGGTTCCTGGTTGACCTCTAGCTCCCCATTTGATTCTAGGTCGCTTGTAATGTCCTCTGTGGATTTAGCAGGGTTAAGAAAAGGATTTGGGACATTTTGCTCGATATCGGCAATCGGTGGCGGAAGAGGAGGAATACTCGTGGTTTCGACAGCGAGGGGCTTTTCCGATAGTTCAGGCGTAGCAGATATTCTGGTGGCAGAAAACACGTAATTTCAGGTTAGAGAGAATTCTGTTCTCGCACAAGAGAATTGACGTGTTGACTGCTGACCTGGAGACTGCTTCGAATGTAGATTTGAAAACTGGGGGTGCTTGAGAATTGGAGATCAAGGAAATTGGATGGAAAACGCATCGTCAGCCAAGAGACGTGCAGAAAGGTGAAAGTGGATCGGGTGAGACTTACGAGCGTCTGAACTGGATTGTGTTATACCGTTCTTTGGCTCAGTGGTGACTTCATCATCTCCATACAAAAAGGCCTCGTCTTCATCCATCCTTGAAAAAGGTTCCAACAGGCGTGTAACTACGCGCGACGGAGGAGGAAGGGTGAAAGCGAGGAGATATCAGATCGTCAAGATGATCGAGCGATGGATGTGGTGAGCAGGGGTGTTCACCTCCAGAAGCGAGATTAAGGTAAACTCGAAGTGTACCAAATTGGGTTTAAAGACCTGTGAGCTGTATGCGACTAAAATTTAGAAAACAGTACAGTCAACTCTCGATATAAGCAAGCCCCATGTATGCATATCGCGATGTAAGCAAGGGTTGCCGCGCGATTTTTTTTGGTATACGTGAGTGCTCCGCCAAAATCAAATTGCTTGATGCATAATGATTAAAGCATAAGATTGGCAAAAATATGCTCTTATCGCGAGATTTTCTCTGTGTATACAAGCATAAATCTCACAGGAGAGGAAAAATATGCTTTTATGGTGATCATTTGTGTGGTAAGTCCGACTGCTGGGCGGTACCATATTGACTCGGCGGGGCCGGGTTGGCTCTGCCCCGCTCAAAGCGGGGCTTATATTTGCGCGCCGGGGGCCCATTCTCACCATAAACGCATAATTCAAGCCAAAAAAGGGCAAAACTTGAATTATGCTTACTTCGTGATTATGCATCGCTCGATGTAAGCACAGCAAATCTGTCGACGGTCAATATGCTTACATCGAGAGTTGACTGTACAACAAAACTTCCTCGAGAGTAGGGCCGACCAGGACGCGCCCTGAAATGTAGGGATCGGGGCTAGGCGGGGCTAGGCTCATTTTGACGCCGAAAAGAGTAAATAGATGCAAACTTAACAAAGTCCCTCGCGCCAAAGGCCCGAGGCCGCTCAAGCCTCGGGCCTTTGGCACGAGGGACTTTGTTAAGTTTGAAATAGATGGCATATTTTGGCATAAATTTCTGATTCAAACGTATTCTTGAGGCTGAAGTATGCCTCAAAAGCTGGTGCAGGCAGTTCTCCTAGGTTTTCTTTTTTTCTCTCAGTAGTTATTTCATAAGACTTTGTACAAGTAGTTTTTAAGACTTATATGATGCCTTTGTATTTGAATAGTAGATGCTGATAGTGATGCTCTAGGTAGATATTCATGACTCTTTTAATGCACGAGAAAAACACCTTTCAGAGGTCGCACTAGTGGCACTGCAGACACACCAAGCATAGCATTTGCCATATGTGCTGGATTCGGTTGGTAACATTGATTCAAGCTCTAATTGTGAAGGACATCACATTGCACATCTTCTTGAGGGGTAGTTAGGTACTCAGTGACCTCATGCTCAATAGGGATCATTGTCCAGAGCTTGATGAAGTGTTGAGGTTGATTGAGGTTGAAAGTATCTTCTTGAGGTTCAACAATCTTGATGTCAGGATCACAAGACGGTGGAAACATTCTCACTTGAGTGGTGAAATATTTGACACTACACCAAATCATCAATAGACTGCTAAAATGAAAATGTAGAAAAATCTCACCAATATAGGAGAGGTCAGAAAATTTTGAGAGAATAATGGTTCAACCTTGTGTGTTGTCCACTCAATTTGCATATTTTGCATATTTTTGCCTTTGATTTTAAAGATCTCCCCAATCAAAATGATCATGGGGGATATCTGGTCAGAAACTCAAATTTATATCAAAACTAGCAAGATTTGGGCAAAAACCTCCAAGGTCTTATAATATGAGAATTTTTGTTCAATCACCTGGATACTTGCAATATATGAAAGTCGTGTAATGGGTCTACAATTTTCATTAAGGTGCAAAGGCATTTTAGTAATAATTGCTATATTTATATAGGGTTCCCGCTGTGTACAGGTATTGATATAACTCATTCATTCTTGGAGAGACACAACTGTTTTGTGCATCCAGACTGTAGAGCCAAAATGTGGTATTCAGAATGTCAAGACAATCCATGTCTTGGAGCGAAACTGATGATTTTATTGGTCTTGCAAGGTCACTGTCCCAAATGCCAGTTTTGGACCAAAATTGGGTTTCTGACATTTTCTGTATTGTGGTTTTAAAAATGGATTTTACCAAAACCAGCCCCCCATGTGAGGTTTGACTGTGCCTTTTTATGCTGTATTCCAATTTAGAATGTTGCCTATCCCACATAGGGGGCGGTCTGAAAGCTTTCTCCAAAATTAGCCAAGAAACATATATTTGAGGGAGAGACAAACCTTGACAGAGCTCCAAGGATCTTCACCACAATAAAATTGTTGGAACAATCACAAAGCTCAAGTTTCATTGTGTATGTTTGGTAGCTCATTCAAATGAGTCAAAGTAACCACCTCCACATTTCTTACAATAGTTCTTGAATTTGTCCATTGTTTCTCCTCCTCTTCATACTGTGTCTCACTCTTGGAAGATTATATCATTGACATACTACCACTGGGGAGCTTGAAGAGAGATACTTCTTTGAGTGTAGTCAAGAAGCAGCCAAGTGCTCTTTTGTTCCTTTGTATATTGATTCAAGTCTTGCACATCCTCTAGATTCTGAGTTATGTGCCAAGATGAGCTCAAGGTTCAAAGCAGAAAGTGTGAGCAGGATGCAAACTAAATTTGTAGCTGGTGAATCACCTTTTTTGCCCTATATGAGGGTTCACATTGTGGTTTCAATTCACCTGAATTTTAGACGGTCCAAGACTGCCCCCTTCCCATCCCACATTTGTATTATACAATCATAGTTTTTGTTTCCCGGGCTAAAAGGGGGTGGTCAACCCTCACAAGGGGGGGCTGATTTTAGTAAAATCCTTAGAGATATGAAAAATATGCAAGATGATTTGAATATACCACAGGCCTCAACCATTATTTTTTCATATTGCTTCGACCCTGTCCAGCTTCTCTATAATTTTCTATGTTTTCCCAATTTTCTAAACTCAGCGGTAAACTTGCATTTTGACATAGTGTGACTAGATTGACAGTTCCACAAGCAAGCAATTCCATGGTTGATGCTTTGACCACATAGACTTTGAGGTAAGGATCAAGGATAGCTGCAAATATATACACTGCTCTCTTCTGAGCAGCCTCTTGATATTGGACAATTTTTTCCATCATTGAGATGACCCTGAGGTGGGACATCCTCACTTCATCCTTTGGATGCCATGGTGGTGTCCTCAGTCCAAGCACATCTTGAAACACTCCGTGATGGTGTCTGAGGGGGATATCCAATGGAAGTCTTGCAGGAGACCGTGTCAGGATGTCTTGCCCTCTGCAAGAAAAGAGGACATCCTGAATGTATCCAAGTGTCCTTGTGGTGTATATAGAGAGTTCAGGTAACATGAAAGGTGTAGAGACAATGGAATTAATTGTATCAATGGTGTAATGATTGGATGTTCCAATTCAATGGTGGGCTTTGTATTTGAATGTATCTCCTTCTTGTATGCAATTGATTGTGACCAATTGTTGTAAAATGGATCATGATTTTAATGACTCAAGAATCCCTTGAGCATTCCTGATGCAATACTTTAGTTTTCTCATAATGAGTGGTGAAAATTGGATTGATCATGATGTCCAAGGTCATCTATTGAGTCTTTTATATTGTGTGGCTGAGAATCAGAATCTAGCTGAAGATTTACGTGTTCTAAGGTTGAAAGTTTATATGGGATTCCATTATCAAATCCCTGTATGAAACCTTGATAAAGATGATCAGTTGCAGAAAAGGGGTTGGGCAAAAAACTGACCAACCGGTTTTGCACCCTTGAGAATTAAAGCCAAAGATGGCCAAAATCAACTGGGTGCAGGTTTCACAAACCTGTTTCCGTGCTGGGTTACCCAAAGAGACCCAAAGTCAGTCTTTGGGTATGCTTTTTCTCCTCCAGCCCCACCAATAGCTCAGCTTGAAGAACTGGGGCAAGTTTTCACACCTTTCACAGATCTGTAAAAGGTGCAAAAAGGGCGTTTGCAAGGCTTGTGGCACCACAAATTGCTTTCCCTGTAAGAGCTTTTGAACGGTTAAAGTGGTGGCATGATCACAAAACCAATCATACCAGTCAACATTTTTGGAAAGCAAAAGATGGCTAAAAATGTTTTTTGGTTTTGTGTGGCTTTGATATTAATTTTGAGCCATCTCTTAAGTGTTCCCAAAAATTTGAACTGTGATTGAACAGGGTTTGGAAACTGGTTGGTTGGTTTTTTGCCCAACCCCTATTAGATCTCACTTGATGAGGCTGAACAGTCCATAATGCAAGGTATGTAATAAGAAATAAGAAAATCAAGCTTTCAATTAATTTGAGGATATAATTGTTTAAAGGACAGAAATTATATTGGAAGAGCTTGCAGGGTACAGGGAAATTGAAGATCCAAAAATTACTTCTGAATTTTGAGTGTTCACAGCACATGAGATGGTGAAACATGCTTTGAGAAAAGTACATAGCACATGAGAAGTTAAAACTACTAATAATCGGAAGCAATTCACATGTACATAGATCTATCTACTTGTATCTGTTTGAGTGAGAATATAGAATCTAGATACAGCAGTACAGATACACATCATAGAGTGTCAAATTCTATTTCAGAGTCTGTGAATTGATTTTTCAAAGCCTGGGTCCACTTTTGCAATGTGTCCTACCAGGCCTTACCACAAAAAAACTGTCAATTGTTTAATGTTTTTATAAGGGTTCTGAAAAATCAAATTGAACACAAAACTCATAAACACAATCCCAAAAGAATCCAGCCAGAAAACTCCATGAAACAAGGCTTAGATAAAGAATATCAAATATGTCAATGAAATACACAAATCACACATAAAGAAGAGATGGTGTTGGATACGAAAAAAATGGTTCCCCGTCGAATTCGTTACCGACTGACACTTGAGACGTTATCCGGTCCTGTTTGTACTGGATCCGTTGTTTTCGATTCCTAGGTTAAACCAATATCAGTTGACTGACTATGTGTCGGATACCATTGACTGATGAATTCATATCTGCCGTAATCCAATTCTGCTTCGATAAGCCATATAATACTGGTTCAATATGTCCAATGCGCACATTCAATGCACATTAAAGCTAAGTGACGAGGCGATGACCCTCAAAACAGTCATTTTTCGACGAGCGTCGTCCTAACTAACAAGCATCATCGGTTGTCGTCCAACAACGCTATTGATTAACCAGTTGAGCTTACGCCAGTTGCGCCGATTTTATGAACCAGTCTGCGCTATACGAATTTGCTTCCCACAATGCGGCCTATGTTGCAATTCCGATCCTGCCATTTTGTTTGATGCACAACATTTCGAAATTTCTATGAATGCCACTAAGTTCGCCCTCTGCTTGCTGTCAATTATGCCTCTAACGGCCAGTTGGGGCCAATATTGACCTGTGACCGTGCTCCGCCAAGCGCCTACCCCAACACGACAAATATCAATTACTCTATCCTGTGGTTCCTGTTGCTTTGTATATAAAGCCAAATGATGTCCGAATGTTTAGAAACACATCTCTCTTATCACTTCTAACTTCATACCTTCGTAGATTACCCCATTCGATTACTTCCCCCACTAACAAACAATTTACTACAAACACTTCTCAATATGGTTAATTCCAACACAAACTCTACGTCTCATCCAATCCGAGTGAACTATTTCGGTCAAGCCGGTGTTGAAGTTTGTCATTATCTATCCTCTTTGCGATGCAATACAAAGCTCACACATGTTTGTTCAGGCTGCTTCTCTCATCATCAATTCCAAAGGATTTGTTTCCTCGCATGCCGCAATTGCTACGTCTGGAATGAACGGCGGGACCCCATTTGCCAATCCTATTAGGCTTCTCTCCTATGGATCCAGTGCCAACGCTGTTCAGCCAAATCACGTGTATTCCATGACACTGGGAAAATGTAGTATTTTTCCCAAGTGAAAAATGATTGACCTGAAGGACAAAAAAAATTGAAAAAGGTGGAATTCTGCATTCATTCTGCATGTGCATTAACACTGCATTTTTCTGCATTGATGCTGCATTTTTTTTCATTAATGGTGCATTAATGGTGCATTTTTATGCATTAACATAGCATTTTTAATTATTTTTGACATTAATTCTAATCATTTTGCATAGCCGAAAAATACTACATCTGTGCAGTGTGACGTGCAAGCTTATTGGCACGAATGATGACCAAGACGATCATCTGCATTATGAAAACTCTACAAGAATCGATCTCGGCGACGTGGCGCGTTTTGGCGAAACGTTTGCGGAGGATCTCATGGATAAAACGGTCATGATTGCACTTGGCTATGTGACAGCACGAGATACCGTCAAAGATCCAATTTACAAGGGCAAATCGACCATCGTCATTACCCTTCAGTCCCAAGATTACAATCCCATAGTATGTCTTTTTGTCTTTAGCATTTCGTAGGCCATCCACTGATTGCTTCCTCCAGACCAAGATCCCCGTTACTTGGTACACGAAACATCATATACCGCCCGTTCGCAATATGGAAAAAGCTCAAAATATCTGTCAAGTGGGCCGCGAAGTACAGTTAGTCGGCATCATCAAAGACTATGACGGAGTCAACTACATGTGGGAAACTGAGGTACATTACTGCATCCTATTATTCTACACTAACTATCGGGACTGAGGCATTCTATGTGACTCCTCTTTTCTGCGTATTCTTCATGTCATTACAGGTCACTGCCATTAGCAGATGCCAAGGCGATGCCCCGAGTCTTGCAACTAAAGTCGTTACGAAACCTGGCACACCCAGCGGCGGACAAGTGCCACTGACATTGTAAGACATTCTTCGGTTCGATATATACACCGTTACTGACTTCCATTCCAGGAGACGCAACAGAGCGAGCAATGCCGCAAGTACATCGGCGTCCACTCTTGACGCCGGTCCTAGCAGTACTCCAACCGAGCCTCTCAGTCAAGCAGATAACGTCGACACTGCCAACGAAACTGAGAAAGACAAAACTGAGAAAGACGAAAACAATCTGCCCAGCGACAGCATTGTCAATTCCTCACCACTCAAACGTCAAAGATGAGCTAGCGGCGTTTCTTCTATTTCAAACTTTTCTTCATGATGTCCGATTCACTCTCTTTATCTTATCAATTCATACTCGCTTTCCTTCTTCCACAATGCCGTTGTAATGATTCTTATTGTTGTATGGCACACTCTGTTTTCTACTCTACCGCTTATCTGTCTTCATCTTTTTGCCAGATTGCAGCTTCATTGTCCGAAGTTGTGTATTGTGTACTTGCTATGGAGCCTATTCTCCAAATACAAATTAACAACTGAATTGATGCTTAGAGGTTGACGCGGCGAGATTACGGTCTGCATTCGCTTTTTATAACTGAATTGAAACCAATGCCAATTACTAGAACTTCTATTAAGAAACATTTCATTGATTGCTGTTATTCTTCGCAGCCAAGAGGGACACCATTGTCATGCCCTGATAATGTTTATAACATGTCAAGCCCCGAATAACCCCAGTGCAGGGCTTTGAGGACCGGGCCTACGCTTCTGAAATTTGCAGCGATGCCATCTTCATGGTATACTCTCACCACTTCGTCACTTTGGTAAAGAGGACTCATTCTTACTTTTAACCCACTGTGTCCCTCTTGAACGACACCATGCCTCAACTTGCGGTACGGGCTCAGTGGGAGAATAATGAGAACTCGATCCAGTTGCGTTTCCGCAACGAAATTCCACATAATCTCGGCGTATGTTCCAATGTCTGCTCGACATGCGATGCACTTCACTGGATTCAGGAGAGAACAAGAGATACACGGAATTCAGGTGCTTCAACATATCCAACGTGTTGCCAAAGTGGCCAGGTCTTATTGCCGGAGCATTACTTCGATTTTCCTCCAGTTCCTCAATTTTTACAAGATCTCTATACAGGGAACGATCATCGTAAGCAATGCCGACGCAAGGATTCAGGTGTGAAGGAGGCCTAAACGCTAAATAAAACCTCTCATAGGCAGCAAAAACTTCCTCAACAATATACGCGCATACAACAACTGCTTATTGTTCACCTCACTGGGGGCCGACGTTAAACACAAAGTTGACGGTCCCCACAGAATCCGATGCTTCAAGATCCAAGGTGCCTTATATCATGACATGGGACTATTGCTCCCGAGGCCGAGAAAAGACCCGATGTTCGCTCAAATTTATGTCATGAGCAATGTGATCGAGAATGAAGCGTCGCACCGCAAGGCTATGTCGAGATCAAAAGAAGTTCAAGAAGATATTATCAATGAAATTTCAGCATTCCTTTATGAATTCAACCCTTATGCGACACAGTTCAAAATGTCGCGACAAATCCTTGAAGAGTCCCAGACGAAATCGATCTCTTTAATGCTCAAATCGGTTGCGCCCACAGCCATTGGTTCTGAAGGCCACGTCATTAGAACGTACTGTCAACCCGCTGCTACGGAAGTCGCGATGATTGTTGCAGACGGCAGCGCCGTTGGCGAAAGAGATAGAGAACTTATTCTCCATAGCACGGATGGTCAATGGGAGAGGATCTCTGAAAGACACACTGGGTATCTCCCACTTCGATATCCAGTGTTGTTTCCCTGGGGTCAAGTGGGATATGATGAGTACTACAGAGTACCGGCGCCAGATAGTGAGTTCAATGACCACTAATTTCAAGAGCTGAAACAACTGACGTTAACTGCAATGTAGACAACGGCCCGCATGTTACGTCTCTCCAGTGGTTCGCCTATCTCTTATTTCAACAACGAGACGAATTTTCACCGATTTTATCATCAAAAATGCTCTTGCAAGAGTTTGCCATTGACCTCTATGCCTGTGTTGAGAACCAAAGGCTCAACTGGTTTTGCTTAAATCAAGACGTGTTGTATGCGGAACTCTACTCTGGTGCGAAAGAATCACTAGGACAAAACGATTTCAAAATCGGCAGACGAGTCATACTGCCCGTTAGCCATATTGGAGGTGCAAGGCATATGCAACAACTATACCACGACGCAATGTCGTTAGTCCGGCACTTCGGACAACCGTCATACTTCATTACCATGACAGCAAATGACCACTGGCCCGAGATTCAAACATCCTTATCTCCAGGCCAAAAGGCAATGGATCGCCCCGACATAATGACTCGAGTTTTTCAAATGAAAATGAAGGCTATGATGAAGGATATTACAAAACACGGGCGACTCGGCGATTGTGTATTGCATGTGAGAACTATTGAGTTCCAAAACAGGGGGCGTCCACATGTCCATTTTATTCCGATTATGAAACCATCGACGTGTCCTCAAACCCCCGACGCCGTAGATTTGGTTGTTCGTGCTGAAATTCCCGACCGCGCGACTGAACCTGATCTCTGGACAATCGTAACAACTTCGATGTTGCACGGACCATGCAAAGAAGGATGCAGTTGCTGGCGCAACAACAAGTGTCGATTTGATTTCCCAAAAGACTACGCCGAGGAGACAACGATGACGGACGATTCATACCCCATGTATCGTCGCAGGGACAATGGTCGCTTTTTTACCAAAGGCGGCTATACGTATACGAACAAGGATGTAGTGCCATTCAATCCTTATCTACTGTTGAAATATAACTGCCACATTAATGTGGAAGTAGCGTCAAGCATGCAAGCATTAAAATACTTATATAAATACATAACAAAAGGCCATGATCGTGCGGCACTATCTATTACCGCCAAAAACGAAATAGATACCTATGTTGATGGCAGGACCCTGACGGCTACCGAAGGTGAGTCAAGATGAGACTACCTGCCAGGAATGGACGCTGACGAAAAGTTTTCCAGCCTGCTGGCGTTTGTATGAGTTCTGGATGTCGTTGCAATTTCCAGCAGTTCAAAAATTGTCGGTACATATGCCGCGAGAGAATACGGTATACTTTAAAAATAGATGGTCACTGAAGAATCAACTCGAGTCAGGGAAAGCTGTGAGGACAACGTTAACTGAATTCTTTTCTCTGTGCAGAAAGGATACAAAGTATAACGATGGCAAGGATAGTGTTACCTCTCTGACTTATCCCGAAGTTGTGTATCACTTCTCATGGAATAAAGATCAAAAACGTTGGAAAAGTTGGGTGCAACGGTCACAGACAATTCCGCGTGTATTCTTTGCCAGTTTAACGCAGGGAGAGTGCTATTTTTTGCGCTTGCTGCTCATGCATGTCAAAGGACCGACGTCGTTCGAGGATTTAAGAACATTTGAAGATACGGCACATCCGACTTTCAACGCCGCCGCTGTAGCCCGTGGGCTGTTGCTTAATGATGATCACTACATCGCCGCTATGGACAAATGCGCACGGGTTCACAGTGCTTATCAGTTGCGAGCGATGTTTGCAATCATATTGAAATACGGTCCGCCATCTGATCCACAAGGCATTTGGAACCGGTTCGAAATCTATCTCTGCGACGACTGCAAGTATATGATGTTGCAATACAACCCTGAACAAATACCAACAGAAGAAATGATATCGGCATTAGGACTCTGTCGAATGTCAACTGCGCTAGAGGAAGTGAACATGACTCTTCTTAGCGCGGGGTTACCTCAACCAGATGTGAACATCTTGCGAGAATATTCGGCTCTCATTACTTTAGACGACGAAGACGAAGTGACAGGCGAAGAAAGCATAGTCATCTTAGAAGAGTCGTTGGAATTGATGAACGATGACCAGCTAAAAATTTTCCGAGTCATCAAGGAAGGAATTATTGCGGCACGTGGAGGACTTCACTTTCTTGATGGTCCGGGGGGAACCGGCAAAACGTTCCTCCTTAATGCAATTTTGCACTATTGCAACGCACTCAATCATGAGGTGATCGCCGTAGCATCTTCGGGAATAGCAGTGTTGATTCTTTTGAAAGGCACCACAGCGCATTCTGGATTCAAGATACCAATCAATGCGGACGAGGCTTCGGAATGCAACCTTTCGGGACGAGACAATCTGAGTGATAAAATGAGATCGTCATCTTTGATAGTATGGGATGAGATCTCCATGCAGAACAAAGAGGACATTCATTGTGTTGATCGGTCGCTCCGCGAATTAAGGCAAATTGATGCTCCGTTTGGTGGGGCAATGGTGCTTTTCGCGGGGGACTTCAGGCAGACACTGCCGGTCATACCGAGGGCTTCAATTGCAGCTCAAGCCGAGGCATCGCTCAGGCGATCTTATTTATGGCGGAGCCTCCGGCGTCACAAAT